AGCACACAGCCTAGGTAAGGCCTACCCTGAATGCTCATGCATAATTATAGTATTACCTAAGTCGTGTTTAATATTTAGCTTAGCCGTAGATAAACATATCTGTAATCATACATGACCTCGGACATTCTCATTGTTTTGATGCCTCCTAAGTCATTTATACGGATTTTTCCACTCCTTCATATTTCCTGACTGTCCCACGCAATGACGACATATTTCTCATATTGGTATTACATGTTTTGGTGTAGAATAGCGTGGTTGATGGACGTTTATTTGGACAATTAACATAAATTAAAGGTTTCATCATTCAGAACAGTAGAGTCGAGCTTTATTTGAGAGTATTTTGAGACAGGCAATTGTGTAGTTAGGACAAGTTTATTTTTCCTACCCCTGAAAAATCGTGTCTGAAACCCACACGCCGTAAGTGCTCAAATAACGCCAGACAAAAATGTTATGTTAATGTAAATGCTGTAACTGCTAACAACGCCATAGAAAAATGTGATTCAAAAATATCGCCCGAATTTTATTTCTTCAAATCACGCTATACCCTGTATGACATGGGACAAACCGGCTTAATCATAGATTGGGTGGGTTTGACTTGAAATAGACAGCCTGTCGAGCGCGAATTTGCGAATTTCATTTCACGCCAGACAGATTACACTTTTGTTTAGCGTTATTCAACGAGTTACGGCGTTTACTTCGCTAGACTCAAAAAATCAATCGTGCACAAATTTGGAGGAATAAAGTAAGCGCACAGTTTCACTGTGGAATGGACACCACGGGGAACCAAAGCTGATGATAAGCAGCGACACCCAAGGTTCTCACATGGCATTGGTTCTCAAACTTTCTCATCTCGTTACAAACTAAGAAATCGCAGGGTCAATCATTTCAAAACAAAGTTATTACGATTGAAAGTGAATAAAATTGAAACGAGGTCCCACCGTTGACAACCATACACGCATTTTGTCGGCAATTATGGCGAATATTCCTCTTTCATTTTTTTTTAGATTATGACGGACCACAAGTTCCATATTCGAAGAACCATTTATATACAAATGCCATTATCATTTTGATATTATTGTAACAGATCATTTAATCACAAATTCAAAATTCCCAGAATAAAACTTAATATAGAAGAAGAAAAAACAATTATCGAAAATTCAGAATATAGGGTGTCCATAGGGTTGTAAGATTTGTCAAAATTGCAAATGAAATTTATCGATACCATATATTGTCTTGGGCCTTAAAGATGTATTAAATGAAGTAGAAATCACGTAAACAATTACTGATTAAAAATAACAAACCCGGTTAAAGATATATTGAGAACTGACTTCATGACGAAATTGAAATTGTAAAAGGACTTTATGGATAGGATAGAATTTACATATTTATCCCAGGGGAGAGAAGCACTCTGTATGTCTAATTCTAATACTATGTTTTAACCAGAATAAATGCAATTGTTTCCGTGTTACATTATAGAAACCACTGAATTAAGATCTTAGAAAGCAGGCATTGTAGTGTAAATAAAACAATATGGTGTCATAACACAAAATCGGAAAACCTTAGTTGGCGCGAGAATGAACGTAAAAAAATCCAATCCATTGATTACGTCTCATTATGACTCCCCGCCAACGAGATCACCGTTATGTTACTGTGTCGAAACTTAGAATTATTATTCTTGGCTACGCCAGTCAAAACCTAACATTAATCTAATGGAAATAGTGCATCGATAGAACATCAGACTTTTATGCGTCGTTCAAGCACTGAATTGTAGAAAGGTTATACAGGGTGCCCATAAAGTCCGTCCACAATTTCAATTTTGTTATGAAGTCAGTTCTCAATATATCTAAGTATTTTTACTTCATCTAATATATCTGCAGGGCCAAAACGATATGAAGTTTCGATAAATTCTCTTCGTAAATTTAAAAATTTTCAAGACTTTATGGACAACCTATATTTCCGATGACATTCACTACCGCGTTTCCTCAAGAGAAACAGACAAATACAATAAAAATGGCTTCGCAAGTTAAAATCTCGGATACAAATTCCATGCCCGCCGCCTTATTGGGTGTAATAAATTCTGTAGACTATGCTGAACGCCTTTTAAAAATAATAGTTCCCTGGTTAGTAATGGCTGCGTTGTTTAGGCGTACAATTACGTCATATATAAATGAAAACCGAAACTTGGGGATTTTATTCACTGTACAAGTCAAATAGCTTAGATTTATCCTATGTAGATATTACGTTGATGGATCCTCAGACTTAGTATTTTGCGTGTGTGATTCTTGCATTATGTAGTAGAAAGTAGGCTATACATATCCGATGACATTCTCTGGCACCGGGTTTTCTAAACTTTTTGAGCCGCGAACCCTATGTTTGTGAATTATATTTTTGACAGACCCCATCCTATGCCGTATCAATTTCTGTGCCTAACCAACGAAGAGGGTATAATGTTTCCTTTCACGAAATATAACTCATGAAAGTCTGAATCGAAACATACTATCGGACATCGGTAAATACTGGCTGGCTAACGGCAATTCGATAAGATTATGATATTTTTGTAAATGTTTTAGACTCATAATGTTGCGGGCCTCCTGTGCAGTCATCACGAACTGCCAGGCCCAGGGGTCCACGGACACCAGTTTGGGAACTACCGTGTTCTCTCAATAGAAATGAACGAATCAGCGAAAATGGCCAGTTTAAAATCTCAGATACAAATTCCATCCTACCACCTCACCCAGGATGTAATATGTTTGGTAAGCTGGGTTGAGCAAATTTTTTGCTAAAGGGTGGCAATTTCTATTCTTATTATTAAAGTGAAATTGTCTGTTTTTGCAGAAAGTAATTTTTGTTTTTCTTGTAGTTTTAGCCTTATATGGGAAACTTAATGTACAACCACCACCGCGTGGTCACAATTGAAATAGACAATATGGGTCGTACTCGTAGCTTGGAACGCTTTTTAGACCCTCAAGACTCTCCACGCTTTCCGGTCGGCTATAAAAACTTTCGCACCCCCTTCCCCCTTTGAAAATTTCTAGCTACGACCCGCCTATGGTGTAATATGTTTGTTAGGCTCCTTAGCTTTCGCTGTTGTGCAGCGCCATGTGCATAGCGAAATTCGCCATTCGAGAAAATAATGACGCATATCATTCGAGGTTAATAGTTGAAAGTTTTTTTTTACCAGGGGTCAAAGATTTTGCCCACCTAGACTGGCGGGCCATGTGAGTGTGAAGTAAAATGTTACATTTTATAAAATGGTTAAAGTATTACAAAAACAAAGATGGAAAACAATATTCCTTATTCTCAACCTGCAATCTTAACGAAGCCATACTTTGCTCATGTCAGGTTCAGACCATTCTCAATTTGCATTGGCTGTTACCTTCCAATTGTAACTTGATATTTTACGCGAATGTAAAATCCATACTCCCTAACAATAACAGTACTCGAAAACAAAAAATAATTAATTCATAAATTTTAATTGGATATTAGAACCTTGCGTGTCGATGTTCGATAACCAACTTTCGTTTTACGCGGTTTCCCTTTCCCCGGTGAAATCGCGAGTTCAATATTTATTCATCTCAATTATATAAAAAATAAAGTACTCCCGTATTGTGTGACCGGGTTAGGCCATAATTTCATTTCAAATTTCCTTATTTTAGTTCTATTCGGGGATTGTTTGTGTTAGCCAAGTGGGGGCTCCCGAAGTATGCGAACCAAGATGGCGGACATCGGAATGTAATATGTGTACTAGGTTAGGGTTAGGCCATAATGTTAGGTATAAATACTACGGGAGGCTCTTGGCTAGTATTCGAACTGATAATAGGACTAAAATAAGGAAAATTGGAAAAAAATTATCGCCTAACCCTAACCTGTTACCCATGTTACGTTCCGATGTCCGCCATCTTGGTTCGCATACTTCGGGAGCACCGCCAAGTGAATATACCCCCTGCCCATAGGTTTCAGCCCCTTTACACAACTTGAACAAAAGTCAGTTACCTCCATATTGATACACACACTTCTGGATCGCTCAAAATAAACTTGACTATGACTTTGAGGACCAATACTAACGTCATATTATGACGCGATCGGCCTGTACGTAACTATATGGAAACTTTGAACCTTTATTGTTAGAACAAGGTAATATGTATCATTCATTGTGTATGTAAAATACTGAAGTCCGGGAACTTTCATTGACGTCTAGATAGATCAGAATATAGGTACTAATGCAGATAGCACATTACGAGATCGCATTTGCGTCAGGCTTTTTTCGTGCGAAGTTTATTCACGTTCTATAGTAATAAAAATAAATAAATACAATAGAACAAAAATTGTTGGAAGATCAATGGGAACGAAACCCTGCTCTTCCGGCACTGACCCTGCAAAGATGACATATTGGAACACGTACGCATTTTATTGACGCGTATGTATCTTTGAATTGAGACAGTGGAATCGTTAGGTCTGTCTTTAGTGCAGATTATTGCAAGCGTTAGTGCAGGGGTGTGCAACATTTCTTGTCGTCGGGCGGTATACTCATGTAGTATGTAAACCAAGATGGCGGACACCGGAACGTAGTATGTGTACCAGGTTAGGGTTAGGCCATGATTTCAGATACAAATACCATGAGAATCATTCGGCTAGTCCTCGAACTTGTAATAGAACTAAAATAAGGAAAATTTGAATTCAATGATGTCCTAACCCTAACCTTGGCCTACATACCCTTCGATAAAGATAAATTGAAATAACTGCAATTTTTTATTTCCTTGTCCATAATGCATTTATCCCATCCTATGCTGTTGTTTTATTATTAAAGATGACGAATGAAGAAACTGACGGAAACCGGTTAAAAACAAAACTATATTTTTTATTTATTGAAGATCAAAAATCCACGGATCGATGAGAGTCTTTGAAAGGGCCACAGAGCGTGGAAGTTCAACTATCGCGGGCACAATTTTCTAACGATCTTTTTTCCTTACTTTTATATTCAAAACCCAGAGTACAAATTTATATCTAATAAGTCGACTATACTTGGTAATTAGAAAAGTATTCTGCATCGTTGAAGTGAACAACCAAGATGGACAGCCTATATGATCTCCCTCCAACTATTGAAATGGAACAGAGGGTTGCCACCGAGGAATCCCATAGGAGAGGTGAGAATATTTTCATGTATTTATTGAGTGTCCGTAGCATGTTTGAAGTCGGCCAACCCCACAAAACTGACTCAACAAGATTTATCTGATTAGGAAATGAAGCTTTAGGGCAGTGGTTTCCACATGTTTATTACTCGTGTTCCCTCCCGATGGCTTTAGCACTCATGAGCTCCCTGTTTATCATCCCAATGATATTTATAATGTTATTTTGAGTGGTAGATCACGAATCCTATCATGTACAAACAATTCATACTCAGCAAAGTGAAAACCTTACCAAGCAATGAAACTAGGAATAATGAGGGGTTTTCTTGCCAAGTGAAAGTCGTACGGAATTCTTTGTGCAGCGAAAGTTGACCACGAAAGAAAACATGTTAAAAGGCCACTGGCTTATAACGACGAAATAAAAACAAACACAAGTTCTAATACCATAATTTAAACTTATCTTCTAAGGCTATAAATTCACATATATCCATCGGGAGGGAACACGAGTAATAAACATGTGGAAACCACATGGCCTTCCTCCAACTTCTCTGTGTCAACCTATTTATTAACATAAATATCTACTGATATCAATACTATATATTTTCAATGCGTGTGCGCGTTTCAAAGTACTAAGGATTATGAGAAAAATTAACCCTAGTGCTCAGTCTGAAACAAAAAACTTGAAAATAATCATAAAGTTACGACGTTTACTTATGTCTTTCTCTCCGAAGATGGTCTTGTACAGGGGACCACTGATACTAGTGCGCGTTGCGTGCTTGAGGTCGGTAATATCTACTAGCTGTGAGTCATCTAGTTCCATCGAGACAAAGCACTCGGGGACTTTGAGATGCGAGTCTAGAACAAAAAATTCAAAACAACCGTGAGCTGGCTGCTATTTTTTGGGTACTCCCGTAGTGTGTGTACCGGGTTAGGGTTAGGCCATAATTTTATTCCGATTGTCCTTGTTTTAGTTCTATTACGAGTTCGAGGACTGAATATACCCCCTTCCCATAGCTTTCACTTCCTTTACACAACTTGATGTAAAATAGGCGAACAAAATTAGTTATCTCCATACTGGTACATAAACTTATGGAGCGTCATTTTTGGAATAATCTGAATCTCAAATTTCGCGAATATTGATACAGTGATCTATTTGTGAAAAATTTCGTGGCATGACGTTTATCAAAACATTATTATAATATGCAATTTATATATATATATATTATTTTAAACTATTATAAAATAACAAACGAGCGATGCTCAAATATATGGTCGCGAAGGTTGAGGAACGCCGGTACGGTGAGTCTCGAGCGCACCGAATTTGGTTGGAAACAGGTGTGCATTGCCTCTCAACCTTTTTCAGTTTGCGACACACTTTTTATTGCAATTTTTTCTGTGCGACCAACAATGAGATTGAGAAAAGAAACAATGCATCCCCGTGAAATTTACCATTAATGCAAAACTTGATCTTGCATATTGGATATCATCAGATCAAGTCAGCTAACGACGAATAATTTTAATTGTTGCATTGTTTCATAATTGTTACGTAATCATAATATTAACTATTTCTCAAAGATTGGCGGAAAGCGCTACGTAAGCGGTCGAGCAACATGGCGAACAAATATAAATAAAAAAAGGAAAATGAAATTAAAACAAAGCGTTGAACCAAAGTATTGGGTCTCAAAGACTAGGGGAAATTTGAAAAATAAAACCATGAAAATAAATAAAAGTAATACCCATCAAGCGACCTTTTTACTGCAAATATATAATTGATCGGTTATTTGATGAGGAACGATTTTTCAAAGAACAACAGAAAGAATGTAGCAAAACGTTTTATGGGTTTAGCTGTAGTGTCCAATAATCCCGGTAAAGATATAGCACAGCGGTGGGCAATTACTTTTCCGAGTGGGCCTGCCACAGATATACTTGGTTACTGGGCCGAAGAATAATATGAAACAATGAACAGAAAACAACAGTTTATTAACAAATAACTAGCCTAACAGATAATGTACAACAAACAGCTGGTGTACTGTACTGTAGTCAAGTGGCACAATGATTAATACTCCGGAATATTTATTCCGATGAGTGAGTATGAAGTATATGTGGCTCGTTTTGCACATAATATTTAAAACGTGGAGAATTACGGTATATTTTTTAGCCGGTGATTCTTTAGTTTCATTGATATTTTTAACAGAAATTCATATCCATAGAATTTATGGTCCTTATTACAGCAGGCACAAATGGGCCGGATAAAACACTTTGGTGGGCCGAAGAGGGCTGTAATTTTTCCCCCTTTTTGGTCTCAAGTTATTTTCAGTAAGTTAAATATGCCTCACAATATTCGATTTTTATATTTTGCTTGCGCAAAATCATAGCGAGTACATAACGATAGTTACTATGGATTTCAATACATTTAGCCACTTATTGTCAATAGCGCATGTTATTCCTGAAACAAGGTCGTTGCCGAATTCTTCTAGGATATTTTAATGCAATGTTTTATGCGAAGAAACTGATGACGTACTTCCCGCTCTCGCTATAGAAATGCTGGTCTTTGTTTCATTGTTTGAATCAGAGTGGCCGTGGTACGCAATAACGCGGCGCGGCGCGGCGGTGTGGCTCAACGGGCTAAGCGTTAGGAATACGCTCGCCACCGCACCTCTAATTACTCTGCGTGGGTTCGCAGGTTCGAATCCCATGCAGGGATGGTTATGTGCGAGAGGATTGCTGGACTCCTCGCCGTCGTTGGGTGGTTCACGTAACTGCTGGTCGGTTACGGCTTCCTCCACCACCAAGTCCATGCTTCTGAAAAACAAACAATACAGTAAAAACTAATCCCATACCCGACTTGGAATGGTAACCGGACGAGAGGCCGTGGTTCGCCATATGGATAAGCCGTCTTATCGGCTTTCCTCTCCCCCGGGATAAATATGTAAATCCTATCCTATCCAATATGATTAGGCGTTCATATCGGCTCCCCTTTTCCGTGTTTCCCCGAAAATAAGACCTAGCTTGAATTTTTGAATGGTCAATGTTTAGCAGTTTTAAATAAAAATGTTTTAAATAAAAACGTATTGTTCATAAATGAATAGTTTTCATACTGTGTATATTCGAAAATTTCGTATTTCTCTACATTTTAATTTTGTTTTTGATAAATGAAAATAAAGACATCCCCCGAAAATAAGCCCTAGTGCGAGATTTACGAGATTTTTCAAAAGAAAATTTAAATAATACCCTTATTTCTTATTTTCGGGGAAACACGGTCGATATCAAAATCCTCCTACTTGCGACTATTTTTCACACAAAAAACTATGTTTTTCAGCCCCGGCGCGAATGGACAGTTTCATCTCAGACGTTGAAGTGAAAGCTAAAACCGACAAACTTTCGTATTGCCTGCTCGTCTCCATAATTCTCCTCATTGTAGCTTGTACATCTGCAGTCGGTTATAGCGTATACATGATGTTTCAGGTAAGACAAGATTTTCAAATTTGTGTGGGGAATAGAGGATTGAAAGTAATGAAACGCATGGGTTCCGACTCTTTATTCCTCCTTTACTATTATTGAGACCTGATGTTCCCCAGGTGGCATATGAACCACTTTCTGCATATTCATATACAATTTTATTTAGGTTAAGCATTAAAGTATGGTTTCACACCTACAAAATTAAGGAGGGGGGGTATAGGAAAAGCAATGATTAAGACTTATTGCCGACGCTGTTCGATAACCATCACTGTTTTTTGCGTCACCCTTGCCCATGAAATGCCATTTCCATGTACCCTTATGTACCATTTCCATGTTGTTTGCATCAAGCATATTTTCATTTTGGCGATAAATAAACTACTGACTGATTGAGAATCTGTTTTCGTTATCTGATCATTTTTAAAAGGTCAGTAGCTATAGTGACACGCGCAACTCGAATAAAAACCGCGTCGAATACAAAATAATAGCTTAGTATTTTTACCCATAACAACAAAATTCCTCTCTGTGTAAGAATTCCTTTCCTGCTATCTATTACAGTCCATCTTGGCAATCACAAATTTAAGAATCTCTTCCGCCTTTTGTAACCTGGTTACGCCCATGTAAATAATAGCATGTCTTTGTTCAGATGGCCATTGCTTTTAATTGAGGGTACTTTTTTTCTTTATCCAGATGCAAAACAATCTCGACGAACTAGCAGTGGGTGAGTAAAACAAGACAGCATGCTATCCTTTTTTCTTTTGTTTTTAGCATCGAAGCAGTTACATTTGGTCTGACTATTTTTATTTGCTTTCTTGGCCTAGAAGCAGCTAATGTTTGTACTTCGACTGTCGAGTCACAGAACAATGGCATCTAGATTCGACCCATGCATATACTTATTTTGCAAAATTTTACAAACTTTTTTGTATGCCTTTTATGGTTTCGGTTAAAATTGTCTACGCTGGTCCCAGATGTTGAGAGTGGGAACTTTGAACTTTTGACCCTAATTCCGGGAAATTTATAAATCCATTCGACCAATATTATAGATGTGAACTTTCCGAATCCACTGTCACTGCTAGATTAAGAGCTACTCTAAACTGGAAAGTCTGGATTTTTTCCGGTTTTACATTACCTGCCCAATTTTCTACACTCTGGGCGTGGTGGTGACCATGGGATTTAGACCCGAGGTTTTCAAATTTCAATGCGAACCTTGAAATTTTTTATGCGATCACATTTAATCATGTATTTGCTCTCGAAATTTACCACCACTTCAAATTATCAAGAGTTGGCATTGCTTCAACAATGGTGCAATAAATTGCCGAATCAGAAATATCGCGGTCCTTCCAAATAATAGTGGCTTCTTACATATCGGTGACTGCTTGTATAAGGCCATGTTTAGAGCGAAAACTCCGGATAAGCGTCAAATTAAAAAAAGTTCATTTCTTCAGAATTGAATACCACTCGTGCAGACGTCGCCAGGAACTCCGAGGTCAATATAACCTACCCAGTCTTGAACTTCACGGCTACTGCAAACATTACCGAACTACAAACTCAGTTTACTCAACTGAATGGCACCGTCGTCTCTCTCATCTCAGGTGAACTATTATTTTTTGTTTGACTGTTGTCCGGAGTATTTTTGTCGAAGATTTTGGGACCAGGGCCCAAAAAATTTTCGGGAATGGATTTTTTAGAATGGCGTAGAACGACGCTTAATCGCACCTTCCTTTCCTAATAAGGTCAGATAAAGATAGCCACTGGTATTTGATGATATCTTTAAATAATCTCTCCTCTCCTATCTCGGTTGTTTCGTTCCAAGAACGGATTGATAGAGAGAAAAAAACGTCGTGATATCAGTGAATTGTTGCAATATAGTGTTGAAAAACACGTACAAGTTCGTGCCTCACTGCAAACGCCGCAAAATCGCTTTTCAAAAATACATACGTTGAATTTTGTTTTATCCTTACAGTCCCTCTCTGACTACGCCTACATGTCCTAAAGTCATGAAATAGCTCTTCGTTGGTTACTCAATGATCTGCGGTTGCCTTGGTTACCCGGGCCTGTCGTGTCTAGTTATTTTATGTTTGACTTCTTTCTCAGTATGATTTAATGTTAGGCCCACTCCCTCATAGGCGACGCTGCTTCATAAGTATCACTGGTTTATCGCGTCTCCTTTCACACTGAAATGCATTTTTTTTTTATCTTTCTTAAGTTTTTCCAATGGGTACTTTTAGTTGGTGATAGAATAAACTACTGACTGACCGACTCCCGCATTCTGCAACGCACAGAACATTGCCATCCACCATAACCTCAAACCTGTCAAGGGAATAAAATCAATTTCTTATTTATTTATTATAGAAATGACTGCATTGCTTGATGAAAAGATGAATGCAATTAACGCTACTCTGGTGGAGATCCGAAACAATACAAAAACATGCAATTCTACCGGGTAATGTTTATAATACAAACCTTGGGTGTTGCTGCTCGATAACCAGTTTTGGTTTTCCGCGACTTCCTTCCCCAGTAAAACTTATCATTTTATCGTAATTTGTGCTTGTATGATTTTTTTTTACCGGTTGAAAAAAATAAACTTCACTTGACTTGATAGCAGGTGAATTTTCGGCTTTTCGCCCTGGCAACAGCGCACTGATATCGGACACGAAATGTTTTCTTGGGTACTCCCGTAGTATGTGTACCAGGTTAGGGATGGGCCATAATTTACTTCCGATTTCCCTATTTAGTTCTACTACGAGTTGGATATACCCCTGGCCCATAGGTTTCAGCCCCTTTACACAACTTGATGTAAAATGGGCGAAAAAAATGATTTACCTCCATATTGGTTCACTGGTGCGCCTCTTCGCGAACCATTTTGCTTAATTGTTGTTGTTCAGTGAAATATAACGAACTAAACGATTTCAAATGTTTGGTGGCTTGAAATTTGCTATTTTTCAAATTAAGTGAACACTGTTTTAAAATGTATGGGACCACTTTTATATGACTTTTAACCACTGGTTCAATGTATTGGTGTCTTGTTCCTTTCAAGATTTACTAAATATATACTGTTATACATCCGCATTCATATCCTAGAAATTGTCCTATCGTCTGTGATCCAGAATTGGCAAAATAACGTAGTTTAGTGCAGGGCTTCTCAACTGGCGGACCTTTCGGGCATTTCGATTATTTGATTCGGACCGCGCCTAATTCTTTATCATGGATCATTAGTCCCACTTTTGAAATTTTAAATGTATATGAAAAGAACTAAAACGCCACAATAAACAATCTTGATTGGCTAATATTCATTAGCCGGCCGAGGTGGTGCGTGTTTAAGAATGCCGAAATATAATTTCTGGAAAGACCGGACCCAAATAATTTTAAAGTTGTGTATGCGGATCTTCGGTAAAAATAGTTGAGTAGCCCTGATTTAGTGTATGCAATTTAACTACAGCAGCAGGACTCTTGAATTGCATGATATAGACTAGTTTGACGTTTTTTTTTCCATCACATACGAGTGACATATTTTTGGAGTTCAGCACGAAATGCTATTTTGCAAAGTGCTTCGTATTTCTTATAATAAAAAAAATGTTCGTGTTACCCAAAAGGTGTTCATATAAAATAGAATTCATGAGACGCAAAACTAAACACCAAATTCCATTTGAAAATATAGTTATAAATATACCTAAATATTTTCAGTTAAACATGATTCTTGAAGAAATGCGACCTATTTCATCTATATTTCATCCGGTCTAATGATTCACCTCTGACCTTTAGAAGCGTAATCTTTTCTTGAACGATACAAAATGTTTCTACAGCTCTGACGCAATAGGAAGCACCACCGCCGAACCATTCAGCGCCACAACTTCAAATACTACACTGTTTAGCTAGTGCTGTTCGCTGCAATATGTAACAAAATTACTTCTCTTGGTTCAGTGTAAAATAAGGCTTGGCTTTTCTAATCTAATAGTGAATTATTCAAATTCGTTTAGACGAAAATTTAGTTTAAAAACGCATTGTTTTTGTTCGCTGAATGTCGAGGTGAATCCCTGAATGTTTTTTTATTGGACACATGTTTTAAAATGCAATTCTGATATATGGCCCTTTTCTTCTACACTATTATGCAACCTATTTCTTACTGTGTGCGAACCCTCAGCGAACTATGTAAGTGATGTTTTTTTGCGAGTTATTATTTTATCTGGAAGACTCTTTACAATAAAAATACCACATACAATTACTTATCTTCCCAGTATTCAAGATTCGATTAAAAAAATATTCGATTTGATTTGAAAAAATAAAATTCGATTCCATTCTGAGATCATCAGGTATTCGAATGAATGCCAGAATGCCCAGTCCTATTTAAAGGCCGATCGATAATTTTGAACAATTTCTATATTTCATCACTTTTGTGCGAGCGAGTTATATTCTTCCGTTATGTGACGTTAGTGATAAATCAAGGTATCTTTGTAATAATCACCTATAATTTTACGTTCATCAATCATTTTTGCTACTATTTGCTAATATTCTCGTAAATCAGCTGTGAATTTTGAATGCTATTTATTAAATTAGGTGTAATTTAAGGTTTGGATTTGTTTGAACATTGATGAATACATCGAAATACTTTGTCGGACATATAAAGTGTTCCTAATTTTTATTATGTTTTCATGTGGAGATTTATAGAAGTTATTGATATTGGAGATGTTTTATTTGATGATTTTTCTTCGTTTCTGTATAATTTCCTTCATTACTTTTTGTCAAGTTCTTCTTGCAGAGAAATTAGTAAATATTTTGTCATAATTTTTTTTTATGTTTGCATAATGGTAATAAAATATTATAAACCAATTATTACACTCAATATGGGTTTAACGCGTTCTGAAGAACATACACCAGTACAGTATGTAGATAAGTAAAAAAGGCACCCAGTCTACTCGTGAACCGCATAGCAATGAAGACACTAGTGTATTTAGGACAGCGTCCAAGAAAGCATTAAGTAAAAATTTGCAAGATAGTATAATATGGCAATATAATACCAAAATCTCTGAATCGTGAGGTTTGAAAATAAGGAATATATTTTTATTTATCTGGTCTCCAACACTCTCTGCTGTTTTCTCTCTCTTCTGACACCTAGTGATAAATGCAAAACTCACGAAACCACATCCACACTTACAGCGATATCGACGTTTATTTTGGCGCGACGTTGTCTGCGCCTTTCAGTCTTATGTAGGCCTAGTCGGGATTGAGCACTCACTGGGATTTCTGTTTCATATCAGTAATTCCGTGATTACTGGAGTTAATATTTATATAATGTAATTCAATCTAACTGAGATGTTATAGAAAACTGAAACATCAAATTAGTATTACCAGGAAAGTTGTGTTTAACAGCTGTTTGGCGCCGCCGAGCATCGATCCAGTACCGGTACCGTACTACCTGTACAATACCGTCAAGTGGAGATAAATTAGGAACTCGTCACCGTATCCTGGTGTCGCTACGATTTAGAAATGTCGATAGAAGAAATGCACAGGTGCAAACAAAGGTAAGCCGTTTTACTTTCATCTAACCACTTGTACACTCCGAGATAGAGGACAACTCCACTACACGGACAACTTACCAGAGACAACGTGCAAAAGTAAAGATCATAATAATTTCAGATCAAAGTTAAATAATATAAATAATTCAAAAAATGGAGGTGGAGATGGAATGATTTGGTCTGTCGCATCTTGGCTAACTTACTTGATATAGGTTCAAGTACCCTACAGCCCTAAGTTACCGGTATAGGCTATATCCTAATTGAAAAAACAGGAAATTGATATGGATGTTTTCTGACTTGGCCTCTTTGGTACCGTAACTTTGGCTGGTTTTACTGGTCATTAGAAAGTCACTCACCTCTATGGCGTTGTATAGCTTGCTTTGTAGTTTTCAGTAGAAGCATTTTGTTTGTTCGGTTGCAGGAAAAATATGAAAATTGTATGCTCTTTGTTTACGTCTTTCTATGTGTTATTGCAGGAAACAATATAAATTGATGCTTCTTAGTCTTGAAGATTTAATGAAAATTCTGCCATCAGCTACTGACAATGATAAACCAAGAACGAAGGTATATTTGAATCATATAACACAAGTCAATGACGAGTTGGCAAAAATTTTCATGAATAATTTACCATTCACTTTGTCAAACAAGTTGCAGACCTCATTCTGTAGGGCCGAATGTAGGATATACAAGACCGAATTGTCTCCAGGTCTTTGACTTGATCCTTCAAATTTTGTGTATGCGCTTACAATATGTTTTCCAGCACATGCCATTCACATTAACAAACAAGTAGTTCAGTAGTTTGACAAAATGAAAAATAAAAGAGTTAGCCCAAAGAAAATTCAAAAGTGATGCCGCGGCCTCTGGCCATAGTTCTTGCTTGAGGTTCTCACACTGTAATGAGTAGATTTCACGCTACAGTAACACTACAGTAACACACAAACGTTTTGGTCAGTGAATTTTTTTTGACCATTCCCAGTTATTCCCTCCCTCCCCCCTGGTGGATGCATTGATAAAGATGAAAAAGCCTCATAAACAAAATACTTTTATCCGTAAGTGGGAGTTTAGAGGGTACTGGAAAAAGTCCAATATCTTATACGAAATTATCTTTGGGATATTCCTCTTTAAGAATTATCTTTGTCTTTATTCCTTTAACTTCTGTTTAATCTATTGCAAATTATTTTGCAGCAAACTCTTCTTTCAGAAGCAAATCAATACATACACTACCTCCAACTTTGTATTCATCAACTCGGTAAAGAAACTGGATATTGTGACAATAAGATACTGGAGGGTAAGTCCACTGGATTTATTAGCTGTGTCGCAAGGTTAATCTCAGTGAAATTCAATTATTAAACTTATATATTTATATATAATATATATTTCAAAATCAATGTTTCAGTTCAGGGGTGTGCAACCTTAAAAACGGGGCCAGATGCAAATAACTGAGTGAAACCTCAGGCCACACCTTTATTTAGACTGGCACAAAAATTGATGATATGAGTTGTTCGCTTATGGGCTTTGCAACGTAAAATGATTGAAATTACTCACATGTACCAGATTAAACCAAATTAAAAACTCATTTCGAGGGCTGCAAACCATTCAAATTGACACTTTTCCGCAGGCCGAACTTGTGTGCTGCAGGGCACACACCCTTGGTTTAGCTTAAAACCTTGGGTGTTGCTGTTGCCGATACAGTGATGGTCCAAATTAGATTATTTTTATAATGTTTTTTTTGATGTTATAGCTAAAAAATCTCAGAAATTTGTTGAGATTGCGTTAAAATTTAGTTAAATTTAGTTCTGGCACGAGACTTATGTTTTTCCGATTTTGCTTGTAAATAAAATTCTGTTCTTAAAATGAATAAAAAAGCTTTTTACCTCTCCCTTACATGGCCCACCAGTCTAGATGGACAAAATTTTCGGCCCCTGGCTCTGCGACAAGTCATCGCGGATATTATAGTCTATCAAACATCCAACTATTATTTATTGAGTAACAGAATATTTTCTATGGTTTGCTTTCAGTCCTCCACTGGGATTCACCTTGTGAGAAACCTTGCAAATGTTTGGATTCTCTTGGTCTTGGATCACAGCAGACTGTGCCAACATGCATGGAAAATCGAGTATGTATCTTTAAAAAGTGATCCGTTGTTTTTTTGGTTTACATTTCCTGTTACTTTTTTTAGCAAGGCTGAAGACAAGCTACTTGCCCATATATGTTTTTTCGGCACTCCGGAATTATGTGCACCAAGTTGGCACACAATCTGAACATAGTATGTGTACCAGATTAGGGTTCAGGTTATCCGCCATCTTGGTGCACATACTTCGAGAGCACCATTTTTTTTCTATATATGCGTTCCCATATTTTCACTCTGAACAAAGCTCTGTATAAGCATTTGCTGTCAATATGAAGGCTTTTCAAAGGATCAGAATATTTCTATAGTACAGGTTTGCTTACCAGAATTATTGCATTCTTATGACATTGGATAGGGTTTATGTCCAAAATATTTTGTTGGAGCCATCATAGCGATCATGATTTGCTCAACTGATTTATGTAATAAACTCTTATGTCGGGAATCGGGATAAACTGTAAATACTGCAAGTATAAATTTCCTGGGGGTGCATGCCGCATGTTTGTGTTTTAGGCCAGTATGATCTTGTGCATACATCCCGTCTTCAGTAATGATAATCTATCTACGCTTTTGTTGCTTTTTACGAGACAAATAAACATACATACATTATAAAATCATATTTTTTGCAGTCAGACATTCCACCAGAGCAAGATGCCACTGTTCGAAGATCTGGAGGTCTTCGAAGAAGTGAGTTGTAGATTTTGAATGTTGTTTTATGTTATTTTTTTATCAGGTGCTTTGTCGGTACCAGCTTAGGGTTAGACCATTATTTTATTCTGATTTTCTTTATTTTAGTTCTATTACGAGTTCAGGTCTGTCTGTGTTAGCTCATTGAATATACCCCCTGCCCATAGGTTCCACTCCTTTCACACAAATTGATGTAAAGTAGGCAAACAAAATTAGTTACCTCCATATTGGTACACACACTTCTGGTGCACCAAAAAGGCTAGTAGTCACTGGTGCATTGGTAGCTATTAGGCTTGCAAACCAGGATATTCAGTTTAGGAAAGGGCTGTATCATGTTTATAAACTGGGTAAAGAAGAGCTGTTTTCAACAGTTTAGTAAAGAACGCTTGGATATACGACAGGTTTTGTTATCAAAATATGATTTTCTCAGATTTCAGAACTGGAGTCCTGACCCAAACTCTCTACAACCCGGTATCAAAACTCCCTATACTATCTTCCCCAAACAGCCATACCCCGAAGTACAGGAAACCTAATATAGGTCACTAGGATAACGTGTGCATAACTAAGTACAAGATCCTTCTATCATTGTAGTTTCTGTTTTTTTATAAATTTTAGTAACACGGTACAAATAATGGACTGGTAACCGGACAACTTTGGTTCGCCACATGATTAGGTCTTCTTATCGACTTCCACTCCTCTGGGATAAAACGAAAATCCCAACTAAACTACAACTGGGAGCGGCGATCCAATTAGACCGTCGTATCAGCCTTCCTCTATAGGAAGAAAACCATACAGCCATAAATTTGATTATCTTAGAGTTCGGAGCTGGAGACCTTGCCCAAACTCTCCACAACCTGGTATCTGAGTCAAAAATTTTTCAACCAAAAACCAGGAATAGTCAATTGTAAATTTTTCACAGCTCTGGCTCTAAGGCTGATTCTATTTCATCTTTATGCTAACAATTGTCTTTCAGTTGCTCCAGGGACAAGTGGACAACAGTTACAGAACAGAAGTTCAACTCCAAGTAAATTATTCAAAAAGAGGTGAGAAATGATAGCTTAGTGCAGGGTGGTCCAAGGTTGTCAGCTCCGCAGCCAACAAAGTTATTTTTGCATAGCTCGCGGGCCACAATAGTGCCAAGAATAAGAAAACAGTGCAATACAAAACAAACACTTTTATTGTGCAAACACATAGTTATCAGACATTGCCATCCCAGGTTAATAGAATTCGCATTAGATTTTTAGTTTTCTATTGTTAGCATATATTCCTGACCAAAAAGGTAGAAAGCCAGATAATAATTTAGACTGCCAAGCACATCATTCAACTTCGCTAGTTGCCTCAACTAGCCATAACACTAGTCAATTCAGTGACATTAGTGATGTAACAATATGTAAAAAGATTTTTCTGAATAGTTTTATTACAAAACAACACGAAATGCTTTTTTCTGATTACTCTCCGAATGTGACGCGGGCCACAGATAATGAAGCGACGGGCCACATGTGGCCCGCGGGCCTGGGTTTGGACCACCCTGGCTTAGTGGTTAGTTAGCATATAAGCTTGACCATGTAGCCCTCGTGAGTTGGAGATCTTGAATGTAACAGTAAGTCCCAGTCGGTAAGACCTATATTCTACCTAAATACTCAGCATAAACCAGCAAGTAAGGAAACAACTATGCCTGGAAAGATTTTAGGTGCAATGCAATAGTGTAGTGGTTCACTACCTTCAATGATATGCGGCCTCCTTTTCGGAGACCCTAACTCAGGCCTGCACAACTCAAATTACAACGAGGGCCGCAAGCATGAATCTGAAGGCCCGGCGGGCCGCAAACTTTGCTACATACATATTTCACAAGATGAGTTCACAAGTTTGCTAATATACACTAATGGGTGTGAGATTGTATACCGATATTGTTTCAAGCGTGATTCAGTCTGAATACTGAGATATCTTAAATCAGGGTTTTCCAAATTGGGGGGCGAGGGGTCGAGCGACGAATTTTAGGGGATCGCAAAGGGCACACCAATTTCACACAAAGTTCGATATTTATTGAAACTAGTGCAAAACATAAATCTCACGATTTCGATTATGATCGAAGTAGCGGTGCGCTTGCGTAACAATGCTGCCTTTGATTGTTAGACCCGAGAAGTGGTGTGTTTCCAAATCACCCGCGGGCCGCACAGAAGTATATAGCGGGCCGTATGTTGTGCCCTGCCCTCACTACTTGACCCTTCTTTTTTCTTCTTCTATAAAAATACTTGGATTTGCTTTTTATGCATTTTCATTGGGTATTTTTTTAAATTAATCATAAAAAGTCAGAAACTCTTACTTCACAGCATGGTCCCTAATCAGCATGGCTCTTCGTTATTTTACAGGAAATCACAAATGCCTAAGACTGGAAGTGAATCAAATGTTTCTTCCTACATTCTGGAAACAGAATCTTCAGGTACGATGGTTAAGCTGTCGTGAAGGTTTATTGACATCAGGTTTTCTCGGTTCTCAGCCTTCAGCTTGATAAGTAACTGTAATGAATCGGGTAGGCATGCTGAATTAAAGAGATTCTGACAATGGAAAAGTAGTTTCTTTTGGGGCTTCAGAAGTATCTGTACCAATATGGATGTAACTAATTTTGTTCGCCTATTTTATATCAAGTTGTGTAAAGGGACTGAAACCTATGGACATGGGGTATATTCACTTGGCTAGCACAGACAGTCCCTGAACTCGTTATAGAACTAAAGAAAGGAAAATTGGAATAAAATTATGGCCTGATCCTAACCTGGTACACATACTACGGTACTACCATTTCTTAGGGGTCGGTTGACCTTGCAGTCTTGCCAACCCTGTTCCCATTATATTTTATGATTGTTTTTCCTTTTTACTGCAATGTGTACCTTGATGAGATTTGGAAATAAATCATTACTTCTCGCTCCCACCCACTAATAGATAAATGCCCGGATCAGGGCCTTGTTCAAAGCAAAGAGTGATGTATCAAATATTCAACCAATTCGAATCCTCCATTTTTTGTCTAATTTCTGTACAAGGCTCCCTGCCGAAATCACTCAGATAGGATTTACATATTTATCCCGGTGGAGAGCTGATGAAACGGCTTAATCATAATATGGCGAATCACGACATCTCGCTCGTTGCCAGTCCATGTCGGGTATGGGATTAGTTATCCAGTTATTTGTTTTCAAAAGAATGGACTTGATGGTGGAGAAAAAACATTTATTGCTCAGTTGATTTTATACTTTTTATTTGTAAACTCAGATTGTCCTTGGAAATTCAGTCCAATTCGACCTCTGAAGCGATTGAAGCGGAACATTGAAAATAATTTGGACAAGTCAAGTGATGATGAACAACTATCAACTCCTAAGAATAATTCTAGGTAAGATTTTTTATGGATTCGATATAGTTCAATGTGTAACAATTGTGTCTCCAGTATGAAAATATGTGTGTGTTCATCGTTTGTGAACCACGATGGCCTTTATGTGTCGCCTGTAAATGAGAGAGAGGAGAGGGAATACGGGAATGTTATTACTTATCGATTTTAATCGGTAAGTATGTTGATAGGTATTTGTCTGTCTGTTTGTCTGTTAGATGCACCCGATATCTCACGAAAATCTGCTCCAGATTTTGCATGTGCATTCATCATATGTCGGACCAGAAGTCTATTGATTTTGGATGAATTATGTCGTATAATTAGCGAGTTATTAATTAATTTGTGATGGGACACAAGGTGTCACTATGGAGTAAGAGCGCTGTTTTAGGGGATCCCCTAACTTTCGATCGATAAGTCTTCGGCCTTTGACCGATATTCTCGTTTTGTATTCGGTTCCGTATCACTAATATTGTTTAGTTATTTAGCACTATTGAAAAAAAATTTATAAGTCAAACAAGTTCATGCTTCTGAAAACAAACAAGAGAGCTATGCTCAAATATATGGACACGTAGAGTCACATAATTTTGATGACGTCATAGCGAAAAAAAAAGTAATAGCCTTCTGGAGAAAATTTTTATCTTTAACCACTGAAAATTTCAAAGCAATTGGTCCAGTATTCGAAGAGAAAAGCGACTTTTTAAAAACGTGTCAAAGAACAACAACAACAACAACATAATATTGAAACGATCGTTATGTCCACTACATGTCCAATAACCGGCTAACTAATCCCAGACAAGATGTTGTGGTTCGCCATATGATTAAGCTGTCTTATATGCCATCCTCTACCTCGGAATAAATATGTAAATCCTATCCTATGGATTAGTTCTTTAGCAATATTGAAAAACATTTTTGTATACATCTTAAATTATTTAAACTATGCAAAATCCAGGCTTGTTACTTTAGGATTAGTTACAAGATTAGCTAAGGATCTATTAAAGATTTATTGAACAAAGGAACACCATTTTATGCATAGTAAGGAAGGAATGAAGAGTTACAAAATAAGCAAAGGGAGGCCTTTATCAAAACGGTTGAGAACCATTGCTCTAGTATTTAATATGCTAAGTTGATCTGAGATAATGCCAGTTCTTGAATTATATTTTTAGTGCAAAGATAGTCAGATCTTGGAAGACACCTCGAGTATCAGGGAAAAAGAAAAAGTTAGGAAAGAATACAGAGAGCAGAAAAAGGGTTTCAGAATTTAGTATAATTGGGATTTAATTTAATGGCCAATGGTGTTAAAAGGTTAAGCCTTTGCGAGGAAAAAAGTTGTTATTTAGGTCCTAGAGGAGCATACAAATACTGAGACAGGAGATTATTTTCTGAGATATTTTCCATCCAACACTTCCTAATTATATCGATTTCAGCTTGTGCTTCAAGATGTAACTGAATGTGAATGTGGGTCCCTAATTCTCTGGAGTGTTCTATAGTTGGTATTTATAGTGTAAGACATAAAAGTCAAAGGATAAAAATTGGCAATTCTAGGGAGTTTTAGAGTGAGACAAGACACTCAACTTTCCACATTTTCCTAATTGTCCTCTGATAACAATTTTCTGTGTTTTTCAGATTACATCACCACCAGGTGCAGTATGTAATATTATCACACCCCCCAGTAGTTACAAGAGGACGATCATTGAGGATTCACCACAATCTGCGTCACATAACTGGGCAGATGTAAGTGAAATCATATATTGTCTTTGCATATCCAGTAACAGGGTTAGGCAATTGTTTTGGCTGAGTTCCTCACTTTTTACTTAGTGCATTTTGCCTTTTAAATTGTCAAAAGTATCACAAATTATTGTTTGTAACTTAAGTCATATTTCTTATTTTATTTCTAATTGATAGGAAGCTATCGAAAGTCATTGCAGTTTAACTTTTTTCTGTCAAGTACCCCCCGAGTCACGAAACAATCAACGCGAACCCCTGATAATCAGACACCGAACAAAGTTGTGATATACTGATACATTAACTTAACAATTTGTTGCAACACCAATTTATTGACCATATTTAACTAAATTAATTCGTCTTGTTGATATTATTGTCCTTGTCATCTGCCTAACTAATTAATTTTTAAAATCTCTCCCAAGTTTCAATAACCATAATCACTTCTCCAATGCTCGCAGCACGCTGTCTTTAGAGATTTCACAGTTTGTACTCGCCTTGACTTGCACATTGTTGCGTCACAATCACAACAACGCAAGATCATGTAAAATCTACGTTTCAATTGGCGTCTAGTTTCAATGGGCACGCATTTTCCCATGATAATAATAAAGGATATTAAAAAAACAGCAACATACAAAAACTTGACTGTCATCCAAGTACCCCTGGAAATCTTCTCGTAACCTCTGGGGGTTCGCGAACCCCAGGTTGAGAACCCTTGAGCTAACCTAATCATGTGGTGAACCATGATGCTGGGTTACAAATTAGGACAGTGCGAGGAACCCAGTAGTTTTTCTTCGAAGAAGAAAATAATGATATGAATTATGCTGATGCCATTACATTTGAGTGGAAGTTCCTATTTTTCTCATTTCTCAGAGAAGATAAGATGATTTGATCATATTGTGAACCACAGCCTCTCATCCGCTTGTTCTTTTAGATCAGGTTCGGTATACAAATAATTATTGAGGTAAATATGGACTTGGGTGGAGGAAAGAAGCTGCATCCGAACAACGGGTAGGCGAATCACTATGTGGCAGTCAGTCAGCATCGCATTCCTGTTGCACATAATAAAGCTTCATCATATTCAAAACTACGAATCCACACATGGTATTCAGCAATTCCGAGGCTAACTCATTCGTAACCCATTTTTATATAAGTCCACATTTATGACTAGCTATTAAGCAATCTTCTGACGAATCGAATTCGAACGTCCTCTTTTGGATACATACAAACAGATCTGTGTAGGGTAATAAGAGTCCAAGGGCCATCATATTCCCGGCTATTTTTATCATATTGTTCTGTGGATACATCTATTTATTTTTATTCAACTTTATTTTTTGAAACAAATAACTAGGTCAGTGTTAGAAGAAGCAGTAGTCCATGGATGCCAAAACCAGACACTGTTTATGAGAGCATAGAAGATTTAGCAGAAGAGATTGTAACACAGTATGAAAAGCAGAATGGACCTGGAGCCACTGAAGATGAGCTTGACGGTATGAATGTTTAAAAGGAATATGATTCTTTTAGATTCTCTCAGTTAATCTAGAGGAGTGCAAAGCTTACTGGATAGCTTAAGCACTTTGTAAACCGCCTCTCCCGGAAGGTACTTGGCAGATTTCCAGTTACATTTCCATTCAGTTACATCATTGTTCGACAAAATTGTAAAACTATGTACTTGCGAGCCAAATATACGCACATTTCTTGAACCAAATTATGGCGCACTTGCACCACCTATTGCTGTGTTTTTAAAGTTAACAGACATTTTCAAATGTAAAAAATCAGAATAAAATTAACTTATAATTACAACTAACTATTGGACGTGAACGACATAAAACTGACACTACTTACTACAAAATAAGCTCTATACAGCAGCACTTGTTACCACATAAATCCGTGTGGAGACAATAATAAATTAGAATTAATTCAAGTTTTATGCATTAAAAGTCTAGTCGTTCAAGGGCTGCAAAAACATAGTTAGCGACCTGGTTAAGATATATTGAGAACTGACTTCATAACAAAATTGAAATTGTAAAGGGACTTTGTGGAAACTCTGTTATTATGGAATAGCAGTTTGTTCGTTTTGGTCATGGTTGTAATTGTATTTGATCTAGACCAGTGGTTCTTAAACTGGGGGGCGCGAGATGCTTTCAGGGGGGTGGGGGGGCGCGAAAGGTCACAAGATGGAATCGAAAATTTCCATGCAACGTCTCCTGAAACGGTCTTCGGTTCGTTAAAAATGCCTGCTTTTTCATGATATAAACCCCTTTTTTGTCCCGCAATATTCAATCTATGACAACTACAAGAATTCGAAATGTCTTTCTATTTTACTTTATTTGTGTTCAAGGTAGCTCGCGGTTGCGGCGACTCATGACAAAATAAACTCATTACAGATCTAAAATAGCACATCAATCCCTGGACATAAGGATGTGAAATCAACTGCCCGACAATATTTAGTTTTGATATATATTGCGCTCATGCAAATTCGTTATTGTCGTTAGAAAGATCTGGTATAAAATCTCAGAAAGTATATACATTCAATTTAGTACAATGGAATTACATATAAAGTATATTAGTAAATCAGAAATACATATTCATCGCCCCATAACACCCGCGGTATGGCTCCTGGGTATGTTGTTGAGATCATACCACTCGTTAAAATAGCCGACTTTTTCAACGGCCCATGATCGATATAAATATTTGAAAAATGGTTGCTTTATCCACACTACAGGTGTGCCGCGGGAAAAAGGAATATACAAGATTTGCGATGTCTAAGAAAGTGTTTTTGAACTGTCGCGTTCCATTCCATAACAAAACCGTTTTCCGTTTTAGTTTAAGTATTTTATAATGCCGCTTTTTCCATCAAGAAATTTTTGGTTGCGGATTCACTTCTTCATTCTATCTTTAGCATCTCGTCGCTGATGATTATATAATAAAAACTCGTTTTTCCCACAGGTGTCATGGTTTCATGCAAGACCGCAAAAAGTAATTATCATGTCTTTGCGGCACAAAATATTTGTTGAAAGAAATTTCCGATTTAGGGAGATGAACACCGAAATAAAGATTTTTACGGCTTAAATAACACGTCACGCGGGCGAAAACAATCGGAGATTTAAACAAAATGCAATCGCAAACGTCATTAGGGACATTATTTTTCAGCGCTCAAGGGCCGGGAAAAGTCCACATGCATAATTACTATTAACAATTGAACAGCTTTTTTATGCTACAAATCTACATGAATTCATTTGCACTTCTCCATTGTGTAAACTGTATTTTTGACCTTAATTTTACATAAAACTTAAGTTGACTTCACCAGGTATTGCAAACTGAGCAGAAAAAAGAGAATGTATGATGAACAATATTTGTGTATGGCTTTATACATACAACAATGAAAGGCGAAATTGTATCCCGATGCGTTTTATGCCTAAGCAATCTGAGCAATGACGCTATGAGACCAACACTCTTACAGCGCTATCTTATTATAAAGCAACCTGCCCATCACAAAACCATTTTTCCAAAGCAAGAAAGGGGGGCGCGAAGTTCATAAAATTTTTCAAAGAGGGGGCGCGGCTCAAAAAGTTTAAGAACCACTGGTCTAGACTCTAGAGACAGCTCATTAATTAATGATTAGAGCCATGAATAATACCCACTAACTACCATTTTTTTATATACTTTTTCCTCTTTGTTTTCAGATCATTTCTTATCCAGTTCTTTTGCGTTAGAAAGTTTCTTGGACTCAACAGATGATGAGAGTCTACCTCTCGACAATTTTCAAATCAAGGATTTGATCCAGAGACAGAGACCAGGTGTGAGGGATGCTCTATTGTGCCAACCCAGGTTTGTGAAGATATTCCTAACAAAGTTTTTTGGGGCTCCTGAAGTATGCGAACCAAGATGGCGGACATCGGAATGTAATATGTGTACTAGGTTAGGGTTAGGCCATAATTTTAGGTATAAATACTACGGGAGGCTCTTGGCTAGTCTTCGAACTGATAATAGGACTAAAATAAGGAAAATTGGAAAAAAATTATCGCCTAACCCTAACCTGTTACCCATGTTACGTTCCGATGTCCGCCATCTTGGTTCGCATACGTCGGGAGCACCGTTTTTTGGTACTCCAGAAGTATGCGCACCAAGATGTCGCATAACCTGAACCCTAACCTGGTACGCAACCTGAGTTCAGGTTGTGCGCCATCTTGGTGTGCATACTTCAGGAGGTCCATTTTTTTAAAGGTGAAATTTTTAGTAATAAATTAGCTTCTATGATTTTTCTTTAGCTATCCCACTTCATCTACTACAATCAGCTCCACTAAAGCATCAACCGTGACTTCTCCAAACCTGACGCGGCAATGCAGAGCTCAAAATGTGTCGGTAAGTTCGTGGTGATTGAATGAAAGGAGTATGTTTTTATATGTATACAGGGTGTCCATAAAGTTCCTTTACAATTTCAATTTGGTATGAGATCAGTTCTCAATATATCCGAACCAGGTTTGTTGTATTTTATTCAGTAATTATTCAAGTATCTTTACCTCATTTAATACATCTGTGAGGGCCAAAACAATATATGGTAATGATAAATACCGTACTTGATCAGGGGTTTATAAACTGGGCCTGAGGCCGAAGCAAACCCGAAATTTTATATTTCTTTGAATTGTCGCTGAGTTTAGTACAGTACAGTATATTTATTTAAAAAAAGTCAGCGCTAGAGAAGCCCGACTCGACTCGAACGTAATGATTGACATTTCAGGCCCGACCCGGCCCTAATTTCAGGTTGGGCTCGGGCTTCAGATGTTAGCTCTACCCCTAGGCTATCGAGCGAATTTTCTGCTTTTTAAAAGCATAACTTATTTCCTATCTTTTTTCTCACAGAATGAATTGTCATCTCCAGAACATCTTCTTGGATTCAGTCCGAGGCTTTTCCTCACAGGAAAAAGGTCAGAGTTCAAATTTTATCTTTTCATGATGCTCAGAAGGGCCCTTGCGTTTTCTGATTTGAAGTTTTTAAGATTCTCGAGCAGGGCAAAGTACGGCCCGCTAGGTTATTCAATCTGTCCCGCCTGATGCTGCCACAACCAAACTGAAACCAAATTTTACTGTTTTAGCTAAAAATAGCTCAAGAAATCTGTTGAAATTGCGGTTGAATTTAGTTTGGGCACGAGGTTTATTGTTTTCCACTGTTGCTTTTGTAACACTGTAAACATTGTTCATAAAATGTTACTCTTTACGTCACACTTACTTGGCCCGCCAGTCTAAGTGTGCTAAATTTCTGGCCCTGATCCAAAAACCGTGGCTCACCCCTGGTCTCGAGGGTCTAAAAACGTGTTTTAAGCCACGAAAAATTGCTATATAGGATATAGAATAATGCTTTTTTTTACATTTCAAAAGTGGGGCTCCCTCCCCCCCCCCCCCCCCCCCCTCCAGGCTATGCCCCTGTCTTGTTCTGAGAGGTAGATTAAGCAAAGCTATGTTCAGTGTAACTTTGTGAAGTTACAGATAAAAGTGTTACAAGTATTAATTTATTGTGACTCCATATTTTCAATAATTTATAGATTCTAATCTTTCAACAGGTTTGACTGTAGCTGATCCGTTGGACCAGTGTGGTGGAGAAGTGGAAAGTTAAAACACTATCAAAAATTAGGAAAATGCGGAATATAATACATATGCCAGCAATTGGGTTTCTGCTGGACTATTTACTTGTCTTCTATTATCTTGTGTTAATGGATCAGTATGTGTATAATGCAAGGATGCTGTAGCAAGAGTGAAGATTACTAATCCAAGAAATTCAAGAGTCTTTCTGCACACCAATGAAGATAAATTTCTGTGACATTTCAAAAATTAATTTGAATGTTTTACTGCTCGTTTACGGTAGTACATTTTTGGCTATTTAGTCAGATGAAGCGTTACAGAAATGTATTTGTGTTAAATAATAGGACAATCGATTTACGGACGACAATCAAATAAATTGCTTTTTTGTGAATATTACCGTAACAAGAGGGAAGATAAGTATTCTTAGTGATTCAAGAGTGCACACTCACTGTTTTGTCAGAATGTTACTTAAATACAGGGTGTCTTGAAATTGCAAAGGAAATTTATCGATACCAGATATTGTTTTAGCCCTCACAGATGTATTAAATGAAGTGAAAATACTGGAACAATTACCGAATAAAAAACATCAAACCTGGTTGAGATATATTGAGAACTGACTCCATTACAAAATTGAAATGTGAAGGGACTTTGTGGGCACCTTGCATATTGTGCTAGTCTGCAATTAAACCCTTGAATTACATACAATACATAATTGAGACTATGCTTTTCAAATAGCTCATTTGTGAATATACTGTCTGTTATTTTCGATCAAATGTTTTTTGTTTGTTCAAATAAAGTATATTCAAGTTTTTGCAAATTTGCTTGTGTTTTGGTAATGCCAGAGTGGGGCTAGGCTGTCTAGTCGGTTTCATACGGTGGTAAATATGAAATTTCGACGACATAATTCCGATTTAAAACAGCACTGCAACTCATGTTTGTATGTAAGACGGTATTGTCGATTTCAGTAGATTAAAAATTTAAGCTTGGGGTTCTTAACATTTTTTATTATAGACTATATTATGTTCAAAGAGCGCTCCGGAAGTATTTATACCAAGGTGACGCACAACCCTAACCTGGTACACATACTATGTTCAGGTTGTGCGCCATCTTGGTACGAATACTTCGGGAACACCTGTTCAAGATTGTTAACCAAACAACAACTGAAGTAAGCCAGGTGTAGTCAAGAGCGTAGCCAGCACAATTTTGGAGGAGACAAATTTTTTGTTGTTATACAATGACGTAATACGACGCTTACTCGTGGCTTTTGCTCTGAACAAGTCTAGATAAAAGCGGCCTGATATTTAACAATGACCTGGTATCTAATAGATTTCCATAACAAACTTTCTCCGCGGTCGATGTTATACAAGCGCGCATTTTCATCTCTCTCGTTTGGTTCATTTGGTGAAAGGATTATTTATCCGGGAAAAGTGTGTTTTCAAGAATGCAGTGAAATAGCGTTGGAAAGGCGCAAAATTGCATTGAAAATATGGGTGTACCGTAACACGTCGAAATACAAAAGTTCTAACAACATGTCAATCACGCCTACCACGTTTCCTATTGGCTGTACAGATGTATACTAGATGTTGCATGTATAGGCGTAGCCCATTTAGGGAAAGGGGGTGTTTGGGGAGAGTGTATCTTCAATATATTGTTGAATATCAGTGGCTACGATATTTTCAAGGTTTAGGCTGTTTATGAACGCTAGATGCTCCCAGTCATTTCGTTCCCTCGTTTTTTGTTTTGTTTATTGACCTTCGCTGCTGCCTTGGCTTCGTTCTCATTCCCGCACTTTTTGGTTGTTTCCTTGATGACTCCAACAGCAACAGTCTGTCGCGGACGTCATTGTACAATAAAAATGTATCCTATCGTTTGTATTCGTATCATTGTGTTTTCGAAAGTTGCAATTCACATGCGGAAGCGTTTTTAATTGTCTGTGATGTCATACTGTCACACACATCACGTTCGATGACTCGATATAAATATTCCAAATTATTTTTGGCCATATATAAACCATTGATAAAAGGGCACTCTCGTAGTATTTGTACCAGGTTAGATTTAGGCCATAATTTTATTCCGATTTTCCTTATTTTTGTCCTATTATGAGTTCGGGGACTGTCTGTGTTAGCCAAGTGAATATACCCCTTGCCCATATACTTCTGTCCCTTTACACAACTTGATCTAAAGTTGGCGAACAAAATTAGTTACCTCCATATTGGTACGCACACTTCTGGAGCGCCGATAAAAGAGAATATTGGTAAGTCTTTGTCAAAGAATTACATGGAAATGACATTGATTTTCATAAATTTTTTTAACAGTGTGAAATTAGGAAGCGTCGTCATATTTTTTTTTTTAATTTTCGCTCAAACTTCCATTCAGGCCACAATATCGTGAATATAGTTTGGATTTAAATACTTTAAACGAGTTTGTTCAAATAAAGCTCTCAACTAAGAGTGGAAAATTATTGGTAGAACAGATACTCACATCCACTGAAGACGTGCAGCAATGGAAGCATTCAAGCTGTTGTTCATGTTCATTGGATTCGCCACGACAGGTAATTTATTTTAATGTTTTTTTGCTTGCCACAATGCCCCAGGGATATGACTATCAGAGATGGGCATTTTCGAATACCCGATGGTTTCAGAATCGAACCGAATATTTTTTCGAATCGAATACCTAATATGATATGTAATTGTATACAATATTGGGTATTCCCGTAGTGTGAGTACCTGGCTAGGGCATAATTTTATTCCGATTCTATCTATTTTAGTTTTATTACAAGTCGGGGACTGTCTGTATTAGCCAAGTAAATATACCCCCCGCCAATAGGCTTCCGTCCCTTTACATAACTTGATGTAAAGTAGGTGAAACTTTTTTCGAATAACCGATGATTTCAAGATCGAACCGAATATTTTTCGAATCAAATCTTGAATACTTGGAAGATATGTAATTGTATATGAAATTTTTATTGTAATAGGTCCTCCAGTACAGTGGCTCCCAAGCTTTTCTTCAAGCGAGTCAAATTTATTACAAAATGAATTTTGTAAAATCTCGCGACGCAATGATATACTCGCATACTGAACGGTAGTCATTTTATGGCCGCAAAATTACATGGCTACTATACAAAACAGTCAATTTACATTTGACAGTCAATTTACATTTGACAGTCAATTCGACCTTTGGCGGACAAAATAAACAAGATGGCGGCGATTTGAAATTTCCGTGTGAACTGAATCGAACAACTTAT